GGCATCTCCTTGGTGCAGAGGAGCCTGGAGAATGCGCTGGTTTTGGCTAGGACAGAGTTAATTTTCTCCATAGCTGGTGTGGGGCTGTGTTTTGGATTTGTGCTAGAAATGGTGTTGATAATGCAGGGATGTTTTAGATGTTGCTGAGCAGAGCTCATACTGAGCCAACAGCGTTCTGCCTCTCATCCCACCCCACCACTGAGTGGTCTAAAGGTGCACAAGGAGTCGGGAGGGGACAGAGACAGCTGACCCCGAAAAAACAAAGGGTTCCACATGGAGTCATGCTCATGCCCAATAGGTTCCACATGGAGTCATGTTCAGCATATAAAGCTGCAGGAAGAAGAAGGAAGTGGGGAGACATTTGGAAACAGGGTATTTTGTCTTCCCAAGGCATGTATGCTGGAGGCCTGCTTTCCTGGGCAGGGCTGAACACCTGCCTGCCCATGGGAGCTGCTGAGTAAAACAATTATTTTGCTTTGCTTGCATGCAGTTTTATATTCATCCATTAAACTCTCTATCTTAGTCCATAAGTTTTCTCACTTTTACTTTTCTGATTCTCTCCCCCATCCCACCAGAGAAAAGTGAGCACCAAAATAAAGCTTGGTGTCTTTCATAGTAGCAATTTGGTCTACTTCCATGACAAGCACTTCCTAGGATGCTGTCTCTCTTGAGCAGCTTTTTCTTCTCAGGCTGGATCTGAAAAAAAAATTTTATCTAGAGATTTTCCTAGCACATTCTTACAGCACTGTCCTGAGCACTGCCTCTTTATTTTTTCCCTAGAAACCAGCCCTTTGAACGAGGTGGTGTCCGAGGCCTTTGTCCGTTTCTTTGTGGAGATTGTGGGCCACTACTCCCTGTTCCTGACGCCCACGGAGCGCGAGGAGCGGGCCCTGCAGCGCGAGGCCTTCCGCAAATCCGTCTCTTCCAAGAGCCTCCGGCGCTTCCTGGAGGTCTTCATGGAGACCCAGATGTTTGGGGGCTTCATTCAGGAGCGAGAGCTGCGGAAGCAGGGGGTCAGAGGTGAGGGGCTCCAGCTGGGCTCTGGAGGCTGCTGCTGCTCCTATGAGAGCAGGGACAGGCTCCCCAGCCACCACCTGCATGCCCAGCTCCGTGCCTGGAGGCTGCAGTGTCTGTACAGGAGCACCAGAAGGGAATCTGCTGGTTTCTGGATGGGGTTGGGATTGCAGGCATCTTTCACCCTTGCAGTATCCTCCACGTGTGCCACTTCCATTCCACGTTGAGTTCCACTGCTGGAGTGACATTTATTCTTGCAGTCCCTCATGCCTTCTTCCTGTGTCTGGGGGAAAAATGAGCTGGATTGGTCATGGTTCTTTTGTCTAGTAGAAAGCTTGGATGTTCATCTCCTTCCCACCCTCCCCTTCACACCTGTTATCCCACAGTCCCAAGGGCTCTACTGGCAGCTAAAATTTCTTGTCCCTGCTGCTACTGGTGCTGGCTTAGCAGCTTCCTGATGAGCATTAATAAGCAGGGAATGCTTGAATAGGTGGCTGAGTAAAAGAGGTAAATTCTGCATGATGATTCCCCAGATGATGTCACTCCCTGGGCTTAGCTGTGTTCATACCAGAATGAAGGGAGGTACATTCTGTACCCTGAGTGAGGTACAGCAGCTCCTCTTGAGTGGGGAGGGAGGGGGCAGACCAAAGCTTCTGTGCCAAATCTGGCCTCAGCTGATGGAGGAGGTGGGGTGAGTTGTTCTCTCTCCTGTGCAATAATGTGTGGGTAAGCTGAGACAGTACATTTTCAGGTGGGCATTCCTACTTAGATTTAGAGAGACACAAAATAAAAGCTGTTGATTTCTGTCTTTCTGCAGGTCTGTTTGAGGTACGGGCTCAGGAGTACCTGGAAACACTTCCCAGTGGGGAGCAGAGTGGAGTCAATAGGTTCCTGAAAGGCCTAGGTAAGGAACCAGCAAAACCCTTGGCTTCCCAAGGGCTGGGCTTCTTGTTGCCTTGCTGCCCAGGGGTGACAGAGCTGGTGACTAAGTGTGGCATCCAGTGCCTGGCCATGTATCCCTGTGCTGGCACACTGTTGGCTCTGGCCTTGGTCAGTCACTGTCTGGAGGCTGGTGGAGAACCAAAGGCTGGGCCATGAGCTGAATCCATGTCTTCTAAAGGAGACAGGTGGGTGTAAGGAGGCAGTGGAGCAGCCAGGGACTTGGGGACGGTGAATGCAGGTCCTGATGGGGGCATTGACAGAGATTTCATTGCCTTCAGGTTTGCCCTTAGGGATCAGCAGTGGGAACTGCCCAGGGATATTCTAAGAGTCAATCTGTTTTCCACTGTAAGGAGAGCTAGCCAAGAGCTGAAGACTGAGGTTAGAAGTCTTTGATAAGACATCAGACACTGTGACTGAGTTTGATCAGGTGTTAAGATCACATCCCCTGATCCTCTTGTCTGTTCTTGGCCATTTAAGAGCAGCAGTGCCTGAGGGGCTGGTGTGCCCTGGACAAATGGGCTCTGGAGGGTGTGCCTGGGAGCTTGCAGGGTCTCAGCCTGCAGCACTGCTCCCAGGGAATGGGCAGAGTTCTGCAGGCCCCTGCTTCCAGCTTTGCAGAGCAGCTGGCTGTGGACAAGGAGCCAGGGATGGCAGCAGGGCCAGTGCACTGCACAGGACAGAGGTGGTGGAAAATGACCTTGTTTTGCCTGTTGCTGTGGAGAGTCCATTTTCTTTTTTCTGTCTCTTCAGGCAGCAAAATGAAATTCCTCCACAAAAAGTAAGAGCGAAGCACATCCTCATTCCACAGAAGAGAATGGCTTTACCACTTAGCAGCAATAAATCAGACTCCTCAACCATTCCCATTGAGCCAGCAGCCTTGGGCACAGCTGCACAGAGCCGTGGTGCTGCAGGAAGGTGGGATGGCTGCAGCTGCCAGGACAGGCTTCTGGATGTCTACAGTAGCAAGCACTGGACCAAGCACTCTCTCTGAACTCTGCACTAGCACGTTGCAGGCATCCCCGTGGATTGGATCTCTTAGCTAGCCAATTCTTTATTTGGTTGTATTTTTCTATTTATATTGAGGTTAGAACAGTTATTAACCGATGACTCTTGCCCTGCCTCCTCTCTGCCTGGTGCTGCAGGAGGCCAAATGGGGATTCCCATGGGACTGAGCAGGCAAAGAGGGCGTGGAGGGGAAGGACAGAGATGTCTGCAAGTAGGTCTCTGCAAAGCAAGGACACTGAGGGCTGCAGGGATGATGTGGACTGACCAGGAGGAGCTTCCAAGCAAGGGAAAAGGGTGAGGGGGAACCACTAAACCTACTGAGGATTTGATGGGCCAGCCAGCTCCCTGGTGGCTGTACCGAGGAGTCTTGGCACGAGGAGAGGCCTTTCCTCATGCAGTGTAATTAAAAGCCAGTTGTGTAAAAGGCACGTGGATCCATGGTGTTTTCATGGAAAGGGATAAGCTGTGTGTGCCCACCATGCCACCTAGCCAAGCATGAGCCAGAGAGGACATCAGGCAGCTGGACCCTTGCCTTGGCCAGGCCCTCAGCTTCCCTGTGAGTCTCAGAGGCTGGGTGGCCTCCATCCCTCACCTTACAGCTTTCCAGGAGAGCCCAAGGTGGAGCTCACCTGCAGGATCTTGTCTGGGAGAGCTTCCCAAAGGTCAGATGGGCTCCCCTCTGCTGTCATGGGTGCTGCTGCTGGGAAGCATAGCTGGGAACAGGCAAGGGCAGAGTGTCTGCTACTGCTGTCTTCTGTGCTCCTGCTTGGGGAGACCCCACTCCTCTGCCTGTGGGGACCTCCTTCAGTGAGGAGCTGTCAGGGGAGGTGAGTGGAGCTGGAGGCAGGGTGAGGGCTTTTTTCCAGCTGGTGTGAAGGCTGTTACACTTGCAGTGCTTGTGAGGGCAAGAGCACCTGGAGCATCCTTGAGTCTACTCTTGGGAGGAGTCTCTGTCCCAGCTGCTGTGGGGCTGCAGGCTGAAAGCTGCATATGGGTACCTTTGCTGCAGCTGTGCTGTGCTGGGCTGCACAGGACCCCCAGAGGCTTTGAAAATGATCCCTGTGGTCCATGGGCCTTGCCAGGTGAGACAACCTTTCTGACCAGCACTGGGGTTCAGAGGATCTCACCTGCATTCCACACCAGAGCAGAGCAGTGGGTCCAGTGCTGCTCTGTGATGCTTTTGAAGCCATGCAACCAGGCAGGTTGGGCAAATGGCTCTGGGTGGCCCTGCCTGAGCAGGGGCATGGCCCAGGTGACCCCCATAGGTCCCTTCCCACCCCAGCCTCTGTGTGGTGAGCACAGTAATGCTGGACAGCTGTGGTGTCACACCAGGCAGGAGGCAACACCTGCAGCTCTATGCCTCCCAAACCTCTGTGCAGGGACAGAGGAAGCAACAATAGAGGGGCTCAGAGAAGCCAGCAGCATTTACTCCCCTTCCCCAGCCAGGGTCAGGCTCCCTCAGAGGTGACCAGGTGTGGGGGCTGCCCCTTGGGTGTGCTGAACAAAACTGGTGCCACTTCACTGTCACAGGAGCTGGTGGTGGCTCACTGAATGAAACTGCAGTGGGGTTTGAGGTGAATCAAATGCTGTGCTTTGGTTCTTGTTCTAGAAGGGTTTTAAATGGAAACATGGAGCTTTGCAAAGCTGGGGTCACCCCCACACGTGTAAAGGTGGCCAGGATGCCTCCAAAGCTCTGTGGGATGCTAAATAAAGCTGATCTGTGGCTCAGCTCCAGTCTTCAGAAGTAGGTCTCCTACATGGCCCCACACTGCCAAGCCTCTCCTGGGGACTCCACATTCCTCTCCTCAGTGATGTTTTCAGCAGCGTGGGACTTGGCCTTCCTTGGCAGGAGCTGTGGTGAGGAGCAGGGAGGGATCCCAGGCTACCCAACACTTAGCTCTGCTTGAACTGGTGTGTGAGCATGCTGAGATGCTGGCAGCTTTTACTGCACTATCTTAATGGCTCAAATTAAAAAGGGCTGTGAAATAGCCCTATTTGCCTCATTGGGGAGCTCCAAGGGGGCTCTGCCAGCACACGGCTCCATGACCACTCACTGCATTTATTGTCTGCTCTCAAGAAAGTGGGAATCAAGCCTACATAGTGTACAAAACCCAAAGGGGACGTTAAAAAGCAGGAACAAGAGAAGTACAATGAAAGAAGTATTTACAACTGTGTCATTAAGGATTTAAAATGCAACTTGGACAGGAAGTGTTGATCTCCAGCTGCAGGTCAGCCTCTTCAGCTTTAGTTTGAGCTATGCTGCTCCAAGATGAGCTTGACTCTCCATCTAAGGGCTCTGTATGCTTTGGAGGAAGCCACCTGTAAGGAAAAGCCATAAGACCATCTGTGCTGGGTGTGCCCATGGGTCTGTGTGTCCTGTGGAGGCTGCCAGCAGCAGGTGACCAGAGAAGACCATGAGCAGAGCACATTCACTGGGGTATGTTGCCCTATATGCTATACACACAGACTGTACAGTACAAAACCATTAAACTTGCCCACTTCACCTGCCAGGGTGGTTTCCTGCACCAGAGCTGGGTCTCTGTGTTTAGTGGCCTTAGGTGAGTTTTTACTCCATGACCATGTGTACATGGGTGTAGGCAAACGTGCTGAGGGAAGGGGCCAATCTGGGGGCAGGATGGATGTACCAAAGGGTACTTGAGAATCAGGACACTGGTTAAACATTAAAAGCTGTGATCTCTGCTCCCTAGCAGTTCTTGCCTAGTTAAACAGCTCTCACACACCAATGTGAGCAGCTCTGCAGGGCCCGTGATGTGCAGGACTGCACTTGCTCACTCCCAAGCTACTGACTAAATTCCAGGCTCTGTACCCCTCCTTGGTTTTCCAGCACAGGCTGTTGGTGTCCTGCAACAGCTCAGGACACCTGTGAAATCCCAGCCCTCCCTGAAACTTTTGGGAATGCCCCATCCACCATGCAGTTGATTCTGTAGCTACTGCTGGCAGGACAGACAGCCCTGGGCAGTCAGGAGACCAAACCCAGCCCTGCAGGGGCAGTCAGGCATGGGCTTGGAGTGCAGCAGCCAAGGGGGTGTGTTTGCACTTTGCAGCACGTGGGGATCCCTGGTGCCCGTTGCCAGGAGATGAGAACTCACCTCTCTGCCTGGAGACAGCCTTCAGGTGGCAGGTGGCAGCGGGCAGCTTGCAGGTGTAGAGCCCCAGGCAGCCCCCGCAGTCAGAGGGCTTCTGGCAGGGCCGGGACTGGATGCTGGGGCAGGAGTGCTGCAGGGAGAAGGGAAGGGGTGGCTGCAATGCCTGTGGCAGCCAGGACCAGCCCAGTCACAGCTGCATAATCGCTCTGCAGTCACAGCACAAGCAGCTCGCCAGGGTCAAGAGCAGCAGCTTCACTGCAAGGAGCTGGAGTAGCTGGGGCCCAAGGAAGGGCTCCAGGGGCAGTTCATTACTGGTTTTGGCTGGAAGCACTCTAAGCTGGCCACCACAGCCACAACACACCCCTGAGTGCCTCTGCCCTTTTGCTGTGGTGGCACCCGCCCCAGCTGAGTGGCATCTGGCACAGCATCACCCAGCACTTGTGGTTAAGGCAAGGTCTACTTGTGTGCCACCAAAGTGTGGTTTGGGTTTGCTAAAGGAGAAGTTGGTTACTTGTGGGATGCTGTGCTGGGCCTGTGGAGCAGATTTCCCATGGGCAGAGAAGGGCTGTGCCTCCCTCAGGGCAGTGCTGAGAGGGGCTGTCCCCAGCAGGGCATCAGGGCATGGTGCCCCCATTGCAGAGCTGGCAGAGCTCTGTTAGCACTGCAGGGAGTGAACACTGTGGGGAGTGTTCCCCTCCTGTTCCTGAACCCTGCAGGGGCTGGGGCTGGAGCAGGACTGTCCCTGCTGCTCTGGGGGCAGCACATGGGGACAACTGCAGCCAGACCTGCGCTCTCCTCCTGAGCTGCTCACAGCCATCAGCTCTGCTCTAAGCTGTGCCAGGTACCAGCTGGGATCTGGGGGTGTCCCTGCCCCACTCCCTTCCCAGCACCCAGACCCACGCTGTGTTGAGAAGCCATGTTGTGAGTGGCACCTTTACATGCATCTTAAGAGGAATGGCCTCGAAAACACCTTTTCTACCTGGTGTTTGCAGGATCATGGCATGCTCAGCATGTCCTGCTGTCCTGTGTGATCCTGACTGGTGCCCCTCTCATCCTGCAAGCCCCAACCCAAACCCTCTCCCTCGCTGTGCTTACCGTGTCGCTGTTGAACTTCCCGTAGTCCTTCAGGTGCTGGCTCAGCCTGGCCGTCCTGCTGCGGGAGGGCTGCAGGGGGAGCCTCCAGGGCTTGCCAGAGGCAGCCTGCTCCCCACTGCCCAGCAGAGCCCCGGCCGTGGCCTTGCTGAGGGACCTGGAGCTGGGCTGTGCCTCTCTCATCACTTTCCATGCACTGGCCAGAGGGTGGCTCCTTCTCTCTGAGCCCTGCCCAGGCAGCTTGTCCCCTCCATGTCCAGGTGGCCAAGGGGCTTCTCCAGGGAGCCCAGCCTCTGCCTGCTTCTGCAGAATGCCAGCCTGGCTCCCCAGGACCCCAGACAGTGCTGGGGCTGGGCAGAGCAGCACCAGGAGGAGCGTGGTGACTGCCAGTGCCTGGACCTTCATCCTCAGGTCCTGCCTTTGCTCAGGGTCCTCCTGCCTGGACAAGGCTCTAGGAGTCAGTAGCAGAGGTGGAAGCTGCTGCTTTCCCCTGACTCTGGATGCAGCCAAAGGAGTTTTTATAGTGCAGGGACGTACCCTGGGGGCACAGCCCTGTTCCCCCGCCCCTGCTGTGTCCCACCTCCAGCTTGTGAGCAAACCCAGCTGCTTACATGGGCCCCAGTCCCCCTCCTGTGTGTTCCCAAACATCCCAGCACCCTTCTGCCACAGCCAGCCTGTCCCTGCTCAGGTACACACATGGGTGCATGGCATCTAGCACAGAATCCTTCAGCTGAACCACAGCTGCAAACAAGGTTTCAATAAAGGAGAACTGATGGTAAATGTCTGTATGTCTGATGGAAAGGTGGGAAGGAGTTGCTATGAGGCTGGTGGAGTAGCCTCAGGTGGAGGAAAGGCACCCAGTTAATGCCTCCATCCATTCCAGTGGAAGCTCACTGGTTAAACAGCAGAGCCCACCCAGGAGAGTGGTGTTAGAGCTGCTCTGATTAAGCTTTGGTTGACCTCAGTGCTGTGTCAGACACCAGGGAGCTGCTCCTCAGCCAAGGGGTCTGACCGTGGATAAAAAGGAGGGTGGGTCTGTACTCCAGGTTTACTACCAGTCAGGTTTAGGAACCAACCAGCATTGAGCCCCAGCTCTACTAGAAATCAGTTTTAATGAGTTTCAGTGTTCACCGATCTGTTGGCACCCACAGTTTCATCCTGTGCACATTTCAGGCTTAGAGAGAGAAGGTGGCTTTTCCTCATGGCTTCCATGGGAGATGCCTTGGCTCCCTTGCATCTCTTCTGCTTCAGACTTGATACTCAGGACTAAAGAAGGAGGAAGGAAGGCACGTGGAACAAGGAGCTGTCCTCTTTTAAAGGCCACCAGCTGGTCCCTGGTCACTCTTCTTTACTTTGTCTTGCTTACTTTCTCCAGAGGCATTGGACTTCAGAGCAAGAAGGTGTGGTGTGTGCTGGCTGGCTTGGGAAGATGAATGAGGTTATCCTACAGTGTCATGCTCCTGCCAGCTGCACCCTGCCACAGGTTGTGATCCATGGGACCTCTTGGATAGGAGAGAGTAAACAGCAAGAGCAGATGCTGCTGCTGGGCCCAGCTGAAGAAACATGGTCCTGAAAATCCAGGAGTCAATGACAGAGGAGCCACTGTGATAATGGACAACAGTGATACAAGGTGGAGGAAGAGACAATTCCCTCAATAGAAAATCTAGAAGGCCTGGAGGCCAGAAAACCAGGAGGTCTGAAAGACCAGAAATCAGCTTTTCATTCCACAGGAGTTCCCTGGGTAGGGGCCTCCTTTCTTGAGGGTTTACTCAGGACTGAAGCAGATAAATGTTCTCAAAGCTCAAAACACAGTCCCGTTCCTGAAAACAGGATTGCTGCAAGTGCAATGAGGTGATGGATGAGAAAGGCACAGTGTTCTAGTCCATCTTCCATACCTTTGCCTCTGGCCAGCTCCTGCTCTTGACTTGCTCCTGGCTGACACTGGAAGTGCTGATTTCTGGGGAAATGGGCTCATAGGAACGGAGAGACAAGCTGGCAGCCAGCAGACCCATCCGCACACACGTGCCTGTGTCGTGTTTAGCAAGCACCCCTGCAAGGATTCCTGCCATTAAGCTGTGGAGGGAAAGAAAGAAGGTTTTGAGCAAGGGGAGAAGGGCTTTAAACCCAGGAATGTGGCTGTTCATTTGTGAGAGCTTTCATTTGGATCCCAAGCAGCACTTACAGCAGCAGGATGTATCACACAGGAACGCTGAGGTTACAATGAATGGGGTTTGCTTTTTCTGTATCTATTTTAGAGTACCAAATATTGTCATTTATTTGCATTTTTTGCTCTTCTCATCTGAGAAGTTGAGATACTTCCTCTTGTACCACATTTTCTCTTCTCCTCAGTTTTACAGGTGAGGCAGGAGAAAAGAAGAGCCTAAGAAGGGAAGAATCTAATTTTCCCCTGCTCTCCAGTATTTTGTCACTTATCTGCTCTTTGTTGGTGCCTCATTATGTCCTCGTTACATTGATGCCTCCTCTCCCCAAAGGGTTGGATGGGGTGAGAGACAAAGTTTCTGTATCTATGTGAGAGGGACAACAGGCCTCTCTTTTCTTTCTGGAAAAAGAAATTCAAAGCTGAAATTACATTGGAAAGTCAGATTTTTGGGATACATTTGCTCTGGTTTTTCATTTGAGATTTCCCAGTAAAAGTGATGTAAGTGCAGTGTTTGGGCTAGATTGGGAGCAACTACTCTATTCACAGCAACTACTGTAAAAATGTTCAGAAGCTAGGAGAGGACAGAGAAGGGAAAGAGAACTGACAAGACAATCACATTTTAGAGGAAGAAGCAAGGACAGGAAAAGGTGATGGCAGGGAGGATTAATAAGTAAATCCGTGGGCAAGGTAAAAAGAGCCCTTATTTTGCACTCCACCTAATTACATCAGCATCTTCTTATCTATAACAAAGACACAGACGATTATGACTTCCACAAAGTGTTCAATCTCTCAACAGCTCCAGGAGCTGAGAGTAAATATTTAGTGAAGCATCCCCTAGCAATGCCATGTGTGTGCCTGCGGTGTTGGGTTGTCATGGCAGCTGGGGGCAAGGAGCAAACAGCCCCTGCACACATGCTCAGCTCATGGGCAGAGCTCTGGAGCTGCAGGGGAGTCACAGGGTGGAGGGGAGGCATGAGGTGCCCTGGGTCACTGTTTCTGGGTTGCATTATCCCCTGACCAGTGCTTCTAAAGTGGGAAGGTTCATGGGGTCTAAGCTGAGAAAGTGTTACATTTTAGATATGGGGAAAAAATTCTTTACAGTGAGAAAGGTGAAACATGAACAGAGAGGTGCTGGATATCTCATCCCTGGTTGGATGGGGCTCTGAGCAACCTGATCAAGCTGCAGCTGTCCCTGCTCACTGCAGAAGGGTTCAAACCAGATGACCACTAAAGGTCCATTCCAACCCAAACCATTCTGTGTTTCTACAATAGTCCTTTGGAGGTGCCACCAGGCTGGGCTTGGGACACATAACCAGTTTATAGGCTGTGGAGATGGCTTGTATGGCATTGCAGTGTCCTGGCATTTCCAGTCTGTTTTGGCACTCTTACTCTGTAAAGCAGGGATTTCCAGAGTTCAGGGGAGCAGTTGGGGTTATTAGAAAGAAAAACCCTGAATGAACAAGGGGGCTTTGAAAATTCCCCCACATGGCCTGTGGGGGACTCTGTGGAGAGGAATTTCCCGACCAATGTTACTTCAGGAATGGGCCCCAAGCTTTCAGATGGGTTTGGAAGGAAAAACAAGCTTCCAGGTTCCCTAGTGTAACTCAGTGGAGGTGGTTGGCAGTGGTGCATTTTGTCTCACCTTCAGTCTTCCCTTGAATTTTAAAACAGAAAAGGAACCCCTGAGAAGGACATTTCATTACATTGGCCTCTAGAAAACACCTTGTCCTGCAGTAAGGAGTACTTGTGTTTGAGCAGATGGTGCAGAGGGGAGGCTGTGTCCCTGGAGGGGCGGCTGGGGACACCTGCCCAAGGTGGTGAGCAAAGCTGAGCTTTCCTTAGGTCAGGCTGACCTCACAACACTCCTCCAGCACCCATTCCTCTGCTGTTATTACACCTACTGCTCCAAATAACCATTTGGTCTTCTATGGAGAAGAGCAGCTTGCAGCTGAGTCAGCTCACCTCAGAGGTTATCTGGGACACAAACCGCACGTCCTGGTGTTAAGTGGGCTCACCAGCTTGGCAAGAAGTTATTGATTAATTTTAAGTAAAATATTGAGGACTGTCTATGTTTTAACAAAGCCCAAACAAAAACCTTTTCATTCTGGACACTGAACAGAGAAAAAAATGTTGGTATGTTGAGTTATTGCTAGGCAAGAGTAGAAAGGGAAAAGGAAATATCTGTCACATACAGACTTTTGGTCTGGCCCAAGGCAAAGAAAGGACAAAATCAACCATTGCAAAATATGAAGCAAGAAGAAAAAAACAACCTGACTGCTACATACAGTTTGTCAAGTTAACAAGGAGCATAATAAAATATTACTCTGACAGACTGAGAGTTGATCACTGGGGCTAGGAATAATAGCTGTCATTTCCCACTTCTATGTATGGCATTGTGTGAACAGCCAGGCGAATTATACAGCAGACTCTTTTGAAGCAAGAGCTTCAAAATTGCCAGAGGCAAATGCAGAACCTGATGAAATGCTTTTACAAGGCCATTTTAGCTCCTGAGTGGCAGTTCCACTTCCATTGGAGAAGTGTGGAAGTAAGGCAGTTAGTTAGTAAGACAGCTTTGATGTAAGGTGGTTTACTTTGCTTTTAGCAGCTCAGCCCAGAGTAATTCAGAATTCTTAGATTGCCAGGAAAGGCTTGGATCTTGAAGAAAAGCAAAACTAATAATGGCAAGCCTGGCTTCTAAGATGCTTCAGGGGACAATTTTAGCAAGCTTTGCAAGAAATCACTGCAACCAGCCCTGGTCTCATCCTTAACATCTCTTCCTCAAGCAGCAGTTGCTTTTCCAGTAGAATTTCAAAGGAATCCGACTATGGCCCTTTCACATGGGGCTGGAGAGGACAAAGCAGCGAGGATGTACCTGTCACCAGCTCCTGAGACGTTGACAATCTCCTCCCTGCTGATGGGGATGGCGGGGTAGTGGGCAGCACAGAGCCTGGCAGCAGCAGCCTGTGGGGAGAGGGAAGGGAAGGGAAGTCAGTGGGAATTGCCCAAGCTGGTGAGGCCTGATGTGCCCGATGCCAGATCCGCGGGGATGGCAAAAAAAGAAAAGGCTGGGAAAAAGGCAATAATCTTTTTTCACACTTTGATCATTTAAATGAAGCTTCCTGCAAATGAAGCTCGCACTCATGAATATTCACATAGCACATTTAATTCTAGCTGACTCCAAACACTGCTGCTAGGAGCCAGCAGCACAGGACAGACAACTCCATTTGCTTTAGAGCTGTGTGTTCCACCCCCCCAAACACATACATTTCCCAGCAGTGATGCCATGTTTCCCAGGACTGCTGCCACCACACCAGAAATAGCAACAGCGCCATATGGCCCCAGAAAGAAGCAACTGAGAGCTCAGAGCTGGTTTTCCATGCCCTTACCTGTCTGTGAGCTCCTGGATGAAGGGAGATGCTCCCTGCCAGGCTCCTGCCGCACAGGAGGACGCCGTGAGCACCGAGGGTCACCACCACACACTGCAGGTGGGACAGCAAAGGGCAGGCCAGGGCCACTGCAGCCTGGACAGCATCCTCCAACCTGGATGGCAGCTCTTCAGAGAGAGGAGAGGGAAAAATGTGCTCCACTGTAAAGGTCCTCAGCCAGCCTGTCTGTGGGCTGGCAGGCTATTTATGAGCACTTCTACTACTATTTATAGGCACTTCTACTACTATTTATGGGTACTTCTGAAATGTGATTGGTAACATTTTTTTCCCTTTATATTATGGGAAGCATGGAATTCTCCAGAGTTGGCCTTCCATGCTGTATTCTGTACTGAGGAACCCAATTCTCAAGGGACTAAGCATGTGTCTGTAGGGATCAAAAAGCTGTCTTGAAGCATGGCTCCCTTGTTTCAATGCTGTTGGATCTCCATCTGCATTTGGTGGGGTGTGTCATTCCTGCAAAGGGTGGTCCTGCTGAGACAGGTGCCCTCTGAGCACCAAGCTTCAGGGACACATTGACAAACCAGATATTACTTCTGTTTAGGTGATAAGTGAGGCAAATGGGAGCCCTGGTTTTGGGCAAGGAGCCACCCCAGGCCAACTGTGCTCTCTGCTGGGTCATCAATCCATGCAGCCCAGACAGAGATGGCAGTGAGGTGCAAGATACCATGAGCACTTAGGAATCCCCACTATGCTATAACCCAGTTTGCCTGCATTAGAGGCTGAAGCAGAAAATGCTCTTCTCCAGGATCTAGGTTATCTAAAAGTCTGACTGATCCTCCTGAGTGTTCAATACCTGCTGGCACAGGGTTCCCGAGGGTCCGATTTATTGCTCTCAGCTCTTGCAGGTTGGGGGAAATGTATGTGAGTGCTTTCCAGCTGTCTGAGAGGAATGGCTTAGAGGCCTTGTTCTCATCTGTTGGCTCATAGCACACTTCAAAACAACAATGCAATTGGTTAGTTAGTTAATTAATTAATTAGTGGTTCGTCTCTGTGTCAAAGCAGGATGCAGTGGAGAACACTTAGCATAATCTGCACAACTAGAGTTACACCTTTAAATCATGAGATACTCCCCCAAACTTGGGACAAGGTCTCCCAAGCTTTCCTTCCCAGTGTCCAGCAATGAGACAGCTACTTCTGGCTCTGGATGATATAACCAGACCCCAATTTTGTTCCTCCAATTAGCTGGGTTTGGAGCCTCTGCCAGGTTTTTAGACCACTGTGTCCTTCTTTGGGATTTGCTTTTAAAAAGGAAGGTGTAACTCCAAAGGTTTAGGAAGCTTTGTGAAAGGTCCCCAGCATACCATTGGAGGGGAGCACTTATTTTATGGGAATGGAAGAGAATTCCTCTCAAAAGATGCTTTAGTGCTTTTTCTGAGAAGCAAACTATATTGCTGCTCAAACTGTCAGAAGTACTCAAATTGCCTCTTGCACTGAGATTAAAAGCTCAGAGAGCATTCCCTGGCCTTCTGGCAGTGCTCAAGGGCTTTACCAACTATGCCTCAGTAAATGTGGTTCAGCTGCAGAAAGAGGAAAACTGCAGAGAAATCCAAAATGCTTTTCCCATCTGAAGCAGAGTGGCAGAGTACATGAAGAGGTGCTGAATAACCCAGCATGTCAGACAGTCAGTGGTTATGTGCAGCAAGCAGCAGGGATGTGCCTGCACTGTCTTGCACACATGCTGTGAGGGCAAGCTCTCCTTACCTGCTAGCTGGTGCTCTCTGGCTACTTGGCAGACGTACTGAATAGTGGAGAGAGGCACATTTCCATCAATGCAAACAAGTGGGGCCTGACACAGCTTCTCCTTGAACTGGGACACCTAGTTAAAATCCAGGACACACAGGAAAGACAGCCTGAGTCATTGCAGAGGGACAAAATCATTGCTGGTCAGACTTCATATAGGATTCTGACTTGTATTCCAGCCTTTAGGTGCAGGCATGAGCCTAAAAGAGTGATTCCCTAAGGAAAATGGATTTTTCCATCTGCCTCATCTCTTCCCCTTTCCCTGCTCCTGGTCATTGAGGGCTGGACTCAACTGGCAGAGCCCCTGCAGCAGAGGAAGATAATTGCTGATGGAGCACTACAGGGAAATGGAATGCTGCTGTTTAATGCCCCTGCAGGATTCCCTGGGCCGCGCCTCACTCACTGTGTGTGCCATTGGATGCCCTCTCTGTCCCTAAGACAGGCTGCTCAGCAGAGTGTTTGACTCCTGGGTCCCCCTGAATCCCACAGGAATGGGGTTCAGGGAGCTGCTGCTCTCTCCTGTGGCTCTCTGAGGTTGCACAGCCACTTGCTGGGATGCCAGGCCAGGGCTATGGGCACTGGGGCAGCATCCCCCGTGTCTCTGCCAGCCCTGGGGGGAACAGGGGCTGCCAAAATGCATTTTGCAGCACAAGACTGCTTCAGAATTTCCACTGATCACAGCTGCTCTGTAAAGCTCAGGAGAATTAATCCCTCATGTAATGGTTTTCTGTGCCAAGGCTTTGGGGAGGCAGGGTAAGGATGGAAGTGGGAGTAATAACCAGATTTTTCCCTAGGAAAGCTCCACCTCATGGAGATGCCACTGGTGAGTAAATTGCACTTAACTTCCATGTTGCTGTCAGTCATGAAGCACAAGCTTTTGTTCTGTCAATAAAAGAAGGAGGGTGTAGTGGTGGGGCTTTCACTGAATTACTCTTTAATCACTGCTGCCATTATGCTTCCCTGATGTTTTTGAATGTTTGGATGTGCTGAGCAACAGTTTCTGTTGATACAACTCACTGTGTAGAAACAACAGGGATGGTAGGGAGGGGATGGAACAGAAAAATTTGCTTTAACCAGTGTTCTGTCCACTTTTTTTTTCTGGTTTTCCCTAAAGGAAGAAATATGGGTTAGGGTTATACAGGTTGATTTTTTGCTGGCTTTAGGATGCAAAATTGTAAGTTAGCTTGGACAAGTTAATGAAGAGGATTGTGGCCTACATATCATGAATGATGGTAGTGGTGATATTTATAAACCAGAAACAGATAAAAACTCCATCTGGGTCAGCAGTAATAGAGGGCTCTGGTGGCTTGTTATTGGCTCTGGTGGCTTGTTAAGCTGCTGTGCCAGTGGCCAGTGACCAGAGTTAACCTCAGCATCCCCCATGCCCTCTGCACCCTTTCCCCCCGGTACAAACGTCACCAGTGGCCTCTTGTCACACCCCACACTCTTTCTCACAAGAAAAGCTCATAACTGTGAGGGAATGCATACATATTGCTCTGTTATCTGCTGGTGGATGTCCATGTCTCCCAAGCCAAGGCTGAGCTCCCCAGCACTGCTGATGACGGCACAGTAAGTGGCTGTGCTCTCCCCCTCCAGCCGAAGGACGCCGCTCATGTCCTGCAACAGGGAGGACAGGCACACACTGAGCACATTCCTGTTCCCTGCCACCCCCAGCTCACCCTTTCTGTGCCAGCTCACTGCTCTCCCTCGGGATATGCAGCCTGGCAGGGTTATCTCAATCTAGGCAATGCTGGCAAGAGAAGAGTGGTCTGCAGCCCTGCCTGCACCAGTCACCCATTCTCACAGCTGGTGTGGGATGGCATCTCCTGGTGGCACTCTGCAGACAGCAGTGACTTGTGTTGGCCACCTCACTGACTGCCCAGCCTGGTTCTGAGCACACCCTGGAGCCATTCCTGCAGCAGTGGGGCAGAGGGCTGTGGAGTGTCCTTCCTCTGGGGCTCCTGGCAATGATCTGCTATGGGAATGCAGGGCATATCTTGGAAAGAACATGTGGATGGAGAAATGTATCTATCTCAGGGGCTGACAGGGAAGCTGGAGTTTTTAGGGAAAGGTTCCTCTCCAGCACTGATGGGAGTGTGTTTTATTACAGGCAAGGATTGCTTAGTGGGGCCAGCAAGTCCACCTTCCCTTGGGACACTGCTCACTTGGATGGCACAAACTGCTGTGTAGAGAAGAGATTATAGAGCAGCCATGATGAAGCCTTTATAACCCAAAACAGAGTTCATATTCTCATTTCTTCATTTGCCAAGTCAGGCTGCCAGAACCAAGGCCCATGGGCTCTGTTTGGATCCCAGGGTCATGGCGGCACTAATAACAGTCAGTGACCCTGACCAGCCTCACCTGGGGGCTGCACTCACACCCTGCCTTGCCTTCAGTCCTGCCTTTTCTCCATGGAGCTGCCTGCTGGGCTGGTGATATTCTGCTGCTCCAGCTCCCTGAGCTGTGCACAAGCTGCTGCTGGAGTCAGGTATTCCCCTATGCACAGGTAAGTGTGCATGCAGCTCTGTAGAGAATCCTCTCCTCTGAGCTGGGGAGAGGTCCAACCTGCAATTCCAGTATCACATTTTCTCTGTCTTGGCCTTTAGCTAAACCAGGCTGGTTTTGGCAATGCTTTGTGTGTCCTCAGGTTCAAGGTTTGCATATTTCTTGCTATGCTTAGCCTTCACTAGAATTGTAAGTGCTTGCTCCTGATTTACCTCTACCTCATCCAAGCACCACTTTCTGGAACTGAATTCAGAGGCCATGGTTAAAGAGCCCATACTTCAGACTTAAAGACTCCATGAATTCAGAGCCCATAATTCAAACTTAAAGACTCCACACCTAGCCTGTGTTTTGGAGGTGGTTCCTTGCCTCCTAATTGTCTGTAGCTAAAGAAGCATTGAATTATTCCCACTCTTAGCCTGATGGAAGGTGGCTCTGATGCCTGCCAGGGCTGGGAAGAATTTTCCTTCTGTATGATGTCATCTTTTCCAAGTTTCTGAGGTGCTGCTTCTGTGACACATACCATGTGGTGGCAGTAGTGCAGGACAGACTCTAAATGCTCATCCTTCCCCACGGCTGATAAAAGGAGAGGAGCTTGTCCAAGGCGGCTTAAACAGTCTAAAAATCAAATGGAAACAAAAGCTGTGAATAAATCCACCAGAGTACTCTGAGCACAGTGACAGCTGCTGCAGCATGGGTGTCTCTGGGAAAGCCCTCTCCTGAAAAAATTAATGCTCATCAGTCCTTGCCTGGGAGGATGTTCAAGATGAAATGGAGCTGCAGCTGCAGTAAATGACTGCTTAGGGCTGAGTGAGGTGTCCTACAGAGAGCTGAACCAGCACCCTGAAATTTAGGATTCTTTGGAACATCTGGGAGTGGAGGAAGAGAGGGGGAAGCAAATTCTGCTCTTTTCTGGCATCATCTCCTCCCTTACCATCACAGGCATGTGGGTTTTCCCACGCTGCTTCTGAGCACAGCATTTTCTGGTGCTGCCCTCCCACACTGCTGTTCCCACCATGGTATCTTACTAGAACCACTGAATCTGAGTGTGCTAATGGGAAACCCTTCCTCCTCTCCTTTCAAGTTACCACACATTGTACCTCCGTGGGTGGTGTGGGTATTTGGGGGATTTTTCCACTCAAGCTTCTTCATTAGTGATCTGAAGTGACAGTAGATATGTGTTAGGAGATTGGGAAATGTCTGAAAGCTGGAATAGTCCTAAAATCTTTTTGTAATCTGTCCCTGTTAACTTCAGTACAAGAATACTATACTGGTCTACTGCTGCTTGTGGTGGAGCCACAGGTGCTGTGTGCTCATTTTCATGGATAGGACTGTAGCCTCTCTTCTTCTGCAGTAACTCCTGTATAAGAATGTGGTTTTTGTTGATAGAGTGGCAAAACTATTTTTTGGTTTCTTAAAAAAGAAAAAAGCTTAAAATATTTTTGTTTTCAATTAAGTAAAAAAATAGCTCATAAAACCTAAAAAAATTTACTTCAAACTTAGATAGCCAATTAAACAAAAGCTAAAAAGTCTCACCTAAGCAATTTACTGAAAAAAAGAGAACTAAGAAACTAATTGCTTTTGTAGACTGCTTTACCAAGAGCAAAAATCTCTTGCACCTACCTCAGTTTTTCTTTGTAAAAAGTTTTGTTGTTTTGCCTTTTATTGAAACGTTTCTGCTTCTAACACTACCACAAAAGCCATCCATTAATTTTATGCCTTCTAAAGTAGCTAAGCTGTCTTAAATGTAATATAAATTTCCAAGAGCCTATAAGAACTAGCTCAACAAAACCATATATCACTCCTGTACCCCAATTCCTTTTGTCCATGGGATGTGGAACTGTGAAACATCAGTTTGGAACTGTGATTATTCCCTTCATCTTCTTGCTCTAAGCATACTTCTGTTGTGTCTATATCCTAGCATGAATTAAATCTGAGGCTGCTCAGCAGTCGTTGGAGATACTGATGCTTATTTACTTTGATTCAGGGTTACTGCACCATGTGCTAGTTAACTCCATATTTGTGGACCTTCCTTTTCCTGATCTCAACTCCCTCCACTCTTATTTCTTGGAAAGGGCTCTGCCTTTTTCAGGCAGCGTGCCCACTAGTAATTGTCCCAGATCTTGTCAGCATTCCCCCAGTCCTGCTGTGGGAGGAGCCCCAAAGGGCAGATCCCAGCTGGCATGCACCAGCAGGCAAACCCAGCACCAGGCACCTGCCAAGTTCCTTCCAACACCGCCAAAGGCTCGTCTCACTCTTCCAGCATTTGTTTGCCCACCGCCCTGGAAGAAAGAACAGTTCATTGGCAAAACTGGGAGGGCTGCTTGGCATAGTTGCTAAGTCTCAATTATCACCTGAAGTCGATGTTGCTGAAACATAGGTCAGCAATTAGAGGGAGCACAGGGCATCCAGCTCACACACTGAGGGCAATACAAACTTGTAGAGCCATCTATGGATTTCTGTTTGATGACAAAAGCCTGCTTTCAAAAAGGGGAGACCCACTTCATCTCCCCATGAATTGCTAGTTTGGTCTTACTTGCTAAGACCTCCTAGAATGGCTAATGAGTGTTTCAGAGACTGTGAGCAGCCCTCTGAATTCACCTGCCCACAACAACCTGCGACTCCAAAGTTGCTGGGGCTCTGCCTTCCAGGCCACTTAGCTCCCACCTTAAGAAGTTTGTGTGAGCTATTTATTTATTTATTTATTTCCCTCTTTAAATGTAAAATGAGGATTGTTATCTTTGCCTGTGCTGCCTCTGTACTTTATTCATGGAAGGATCTGTTTCAGGGACTGAAGAGTTTTTCACTGACCCATTGCTTCCCAAACATCTCCCTCATTAAGAATACCCTTCTTTCCCATATGTGCAGCTACCAAATTATTTTCTCTTGCCTCTGCCCTCCACTCCTCTGTCCCTCTGCCTTTCTGTCACAGACAAATTGTCAGAACACAAGCAGTCGCTCACCCATCTCATTCTAATTCTTCTGCCAGAAGAATTACATCAGTTCTACTCAGATCAATTTGGACTTCATCTGACTATCAAATGGTTTTAGAGCTCTTGTTTCATAAAATCCTGAAAACTATTTTCCATCTCTGAAGACAGAGATCCCTGTAAGCAGGAGCTCCTGGCCCAGTCCCTCTGCCCTACACCAGCCCAGGTGCACAGGAACACCCCTGCACACAACATTTGCCTTGCTTGTGGACACCACTATCTTCTAACCAAGAATATGTCTTGCCAGCTCACTGTAAGGAATATTCTGCTCCCAACAATCCCTGTGCTTGGGCATTCTCAGAATTCATTCTGAAGCTCCCCAAGGATTCTTCTTCCCCTTTGTGCAGCTGCACATCTGTTCTTTGCACACAATGCTTTCTCCTGCATCCAGCCCTGGGAGAGGCTGCTCTCCCAGCTAAATATGATCTTCTATTTCTCTCATCTGACCTTCAGGCTCTTTTTTTTAGCTCTGACTCTCCCCAGTTCTGTAGTCTGTAAAATCTGGTGCTAATTTTTGATACTTTTCCTTTTCTGCCTGGCAGCTCTCCAAGCCCTAAACTGTCCAGGCCGCCTGAGCAAAACTGTCTCTGTACAAGAAACCAACCGATGGCCTTTGTTCATCTCTGCCCTGCTTATCACTCCTCATCAAATGCAAATGTCACTCCCTGCCAAATGCCCCTCCCTTGTCTTTGCCTGTGCTCCCTGGGAGTTGCCGCTGGTACTGCTGGGAATGAGGATATTTCCATCTGCAAATGTATCCTGTGGAGAGTTGCAGATTTCAAAAGCAAAGTGACGTTGGCTATTTTAATTCTGAACTTCACTCTCTGTAATATAGGCGGCCAAGGGGGAAAAAACCAACCCTCCGCACCCCAAAATGCAAAGCAAGGGTGCTTTTTTAGGAGAGTCAAACAACATGGCTTTGAGCATTGGTCCCTGTTTCAATCCTTAAAGAGGGTGCTGGCGGCCATCAGCAATAAGCACAAACTGTGGTTTATGTAGTTCCATTAGCTGTGGTTTTAAACTGATGCCTGCAGGAATGGTGAATATACTCATTATCTCCTTTTGCTGCCTGGCATGCTGATGCTCTCTCTCAGTTCCCCATACACCCCAGAGTCAAAGCTTCTGGGTGTCTTTTTTATGCCAAGCCTTGCCCTAAGAGCAGATGTAGCAGCCTCTGCTCAGGGATCCAGCTGTGGGTGACCTCTCCTGTTGTACAATCCCACAGGGCCTGAAAAAATGAAGATGCTAAAGCTCTCTTTAAAGTAGCAGGTGGGTACAGTGAGAGAGAAGCCAGCAGCTGGCTCTTAAAGAAAAATAAATGAGTGACTCTTGTCACACCTTGCCAACTCAGCTGTAACTCAGTGGTATCCAAATATCTTCTTGGTTTGGGTGGGGCTGGCCCAGATGAAAGAATTTAGGTAAAAATGGGCTTGCTAAAAGTGATCTGAAATGAGGCTGGGTTGATGCTTTCTGGCAAAGTATCAGAGCATTGAGGAAGTCTCTGGAACCTTCTTCCATGTCCTAAGAGGTTTGAACTCCTAATGTGAAAATGAGACTCTGCTCAGCTTCTGGCTCTCCAGAGAGAATGATAACCATAATGGTTTTTCCAGCAACTTTCTCTGAGCAAAATTGTTCATCCTTCTCAGCAGGTCAGATAGTTACATATTAAGCATTTAGCTTCTGGGTAGCCTTGAGAGCCATGTGGGAATTACAACCAGGTCAGAACACAGCTGCTTTCCTGCTGAGACAGCAGAGGAGGGAGTGGTACCCAGGGCTCTGCAACAAATCCAGCAGGCACAAAGGTGGGACCTGCTGGGTGTGGAGCCCTTTGATAAAATCTGCCTTTAAAAAGCCAAAACAGTGATACTGAGAGAGGCTTTTCCTCTGTGCTCAACCACAGTAGCTGTCAGCAGGAGCTTTCTGGCTGGAAGTTCCCAAATCCTCCTTGGCTTGGCAGTGGGTCCCAGCCATGATGCACCATGAGCTCTGGGGCTCGCTGAAGGCAGAAGGGTGGCTAACACCTCACTTTTTTATTTAGCATTAAAAGCCCCCTTTTCCCTTGTCAGCTGTTCCCAGCAGGACCTACACTGGTCCTTGGCCCCCTCACCGTGCTATGGGTGCTCCAGAAATCTGCAGTCGTGTCTGACATGCCAAGGAATGCCTGTCTTTCCTTGGACACAGCTCAGCTCCTTGCCTGATGGCTGAGTGTAGGCTGTGCATGGTATTGGTTACATCACAGCTGAAGCAGCTGAACTCTTGCTTTTGCAAGCTTTCATAACTGATGCCACAGCATATTTCACCCTTGACCATTGTAACATTGCTTGGCCCCTGCATCATTAAATAGCAAATTCCTTACAGACAGCTTCCCCAGCACATTTCCCCTATCTCACTGAGAGGTCTCCACAGGCTGTCCCATCTGATGGCAGAAGCTTCCTGCCTTGGCTATCATCACAGAGTAATTTGAGACACCAGAGAAGTTTAGAGCAAGCTTCACCACCTCAATCTGCAGCACTTGGTACAGCTTGACAAAAATTGTACAGCTGTCATTTGCATGGGGAACTCCCAGGTTTGGTCGACTTTAGCTTCTTGTTTGCTTCTTGCCCAACCCAAACTGAGACAAATGGTAATGTCTAAAATGTTCTATTTTTTAAAGCCATCTGTGGGGCTCTTTTTCTCTTTTTTTGTTGGTTTTTGTGTGTGTGTATGAGACTCAAATCCTTCATGAGTACTCTGCACAGAGACTCTTGCTCCTATTTGTGCTGCTTCCTATAGTTAGGACAGTCTCAGACAGCCAGAGATGGGTTGCTGGGGGTTTCCCCACTATGGCTGTATGAATGATACATTACTTTGTCCCTCTCTTGAGTGGTGATGGTGATTTTCACCTTGGGGACAGAGCAGGTCAGTATATATCACTCCATTATCCATCTAAACAACACACCAAGCATGCCCAAGTGTGTGCATGCACACATGTGGATATCATCCAGGGATAACACCTTCCCCCCAACCCCTGTGGCTTGGCACTCCTGTAAAAGCAGCTGGAAATACACTGGTGCTGGGAAAACTGCTACAGATACAGTACCAGGATCTCAGGGTTCTGTGCCTTGGCTATAAAGTCAACGTTGATACCGCCAATCACCACCTTTAAGAGGGAAGAAAGAGGTAAAAAGTGGCTGGAAGTGCTTCAGGAAAAAGTTTCCAAATCTTCTTTGCTTTGCCTAGTCACTTTTCCCACCCTCTTGGAAGCTCTCTCATTACAGTGTAAGGGCCAGCGCTTCTTTTGAATAGTCAGATGCAGGTTTGTGCAATCCCAATCAGAAATAATCAAAACCTCTTCTCTTTGTTGTTTTCTGAATTATGCCTCAGCCATCCCATGGCAGGTGGGATGTTGCAGTGGACACACAGGGATGCTGATGGTTTCTCTCTATACCAGGCCTCAGAAACATTCAAGCATTGGTGTGCAAAAAAGCAAAGAAAACGGGAAAAAGTGGGCAGGGAAATGCAGTAATTTCTTGCAAGCTCCCAGGAGAAATTGCCATACCCAGTGACACTTTACAGATCACTTCTTTTATTGTCCTACAAAGCCAGAATAAGCAGTTTAGCTCCACAAACAGGAAGTTTCCAGATTCTTTGGGGACATACAGATGTTTTTTCTCATCAAATGCTGGGTTATTGCCTCTGAAGTCACTGCCCTCTTTTATGTTGACAAATCTTATTGCAAATTGGTTTTAAAAAATTTTTCATGTCTAAAGACCACCTAAAAGAGATTTCCTGCAAGTTACATGGCACAGACAAAATCCAAGAGAGAGAAGAGAGTATTTGGAGTATACTAGATCTTGTTTGGGATGTGCTGTAACTCTTGTGATTTTGTCAATCATGAGCAGGAGGCCAAGAACAAGAGATATTTATGGCTCAGCAGCTCAAAATATCTCTCCACACCCTCTTCCAGGTCTATTCCTGTAGTCACAAGTTCCCTGGTACTAAGAGCTGTAGAGATGGAGCTGTACATAGGGACTCAGAAAAAGGTGAAAAGGTGATTCAAGTTTTAATGGCCTTGATGGTCTAAGACTTAATGAGATCAGGCCATTGTCAGTGTCTGCTCCTTGTAAATGTGGATAAGGGGAGGAGGAGAAGACACTTATCTTTCAAGAATAACAAGGGAAACTAAAGGGAGAATGTCTGACAGCGTGAAGGAGAATGGTTGGTTGCTGGCTGAGTCATCTCTTACTTTTGGGAACAGATATAAATTTATCTTGTGCTGTCAGCAGAGAGGCATGATGTGGAGGCCAGCAGAGGACTCACTGGTTGGGGTGCACTCATGTCCTTTTGCCCAGGCTGGCTCCTCTTCCTCCTGGCTTTCTGCAGTTTGCTGAGGGCCACTGCAATGCAGCTGCCCACTCTGGCATTGTTCTGGATCAGTGCAAGGTCTGTTGAGCATTTCTTTGAGGAAAATTAAAAATACCAGCGAGCCTGACCTGTTAGAATCTTGTGTAGGAACTGTTTAGAGGGAGAAAGGAGGAATTACATGCTGGGACTTGATAGGTTTGATCCCCCACACCATAATCCTTTGGGGACAAGTATAGCAGGTTACAATGCTGCATGAAAACCCAGATTTTTCCTTTTTCTTAATTTTTTAAAAATTCACCTTCCTCCCCCAGTGTTCACAGAGAGGAAGCCTGACTTTGATAGGTGGGGAATAAAAGCAAAGACTTCACAGAGAAAAGAGGAACTGAAGTACTTAAATTACAGCAGAGAGCCTAAAAACCTTAGAGGATCTTGGTCAGCTTTTCCAGAAAGAGATATCTACTGAGATTTTGCCAAGTCACTAGAAGCAATTTTTTTTAGCAAATTGCACTGGGAGCAGAGTATCAGAGCTTTTGAAAGCCCTACTTTGTGGCTGCATATAGGTCTTACATCCAAAAATGCCTCCGCCTTGATTGGTCAGGTCTCCTAGAGGGCTGGCAGCAGAGCCTGGATGTGAATCTGGCTCTCCCAGCTCCTGCACTGGCATCCCAGCCTGTACCTCTGCTTTCTCCTGGCTGTGCAGCAGGATTCCTGCTCACCCAGGGGTGTTTGTCCTCCAGGTTTCTCTTTCTCTGTACCCCCAGGGAAGGTTGGATAATGTGTGATGTACAGCACAGAGCTCTGGGAAGCCCAGGGACCTGCCAGTGTGCAAGCCCAGCACAGACAACAGCACCCAGAGATTCCATCACAGAGCAGGCAAGCTCCTGAGTGAGATGTGGGGGATTTCCTTGGGCTCTGGACCAGCTGCCATCTGTGCTGCCCTCCAGTTTTTAATGTAAAAGGGGATGAAGGCAGTAAGGATGTGCCTAAAAAATCAGGATGCAGACACTGAAGTGTTTGCTCCTTGCTAGACCATCAATAAAGTGACAGTGTTTCCTACCAGGCACTATCAGAAGAGACAGAAAATACACTGGAGGACTTTCTTTTTTCCCCCCATTTAGTAAGTGGATACTGGAGTCCAATGATTTCCCATCAGTTAACTCTATGAGCTTCTGTAACAAAAAGGGGGTCACATCTTTGCCTGTGATTCCTTTGGACCTGCAAGTATAAAGAAAATGCCCACAGATGAGCTGAAATGGGATCAGAGGAGCAGCACTGTAGCCAGCAGATACTTTATCTCCACAACCACAAGTCCTGTAAACAAGCTTTGGGCTAGATAAAGGTACAGTTGAAAATAAGTTCTGGGCTCACCCATGCCCAAGGTTAAGCTCCTGCAGCAGTGTCCCAGTGTCCCTTGTTTACTCCCCCAAACCCACGGGCTGAGCAAAGGCAAAGGTTTAGGTTGCTTCTCACCTGGCTTGGCTGAGAGCTTGCTGGATGGCCTCTTCAATGACCTGGCCCTGGGCAGCTCGCTCCTGGGGACAGGGCACTGCTATCAGCACCCCACTGCCCAGCCCCAGCCCCAGAGCACAGTCTGCAAGAGGATGGCAACACTGTTAGTGGCACTGCTTGGAGGGAGAAGTCAGGGGCTGAAGGAAAAGGACAGAGGAGAGTGGGCACAAGGTGGAGGAAGCCCCAGAGCTCAAGCTCCAGTTCTCAGCTGACCCAAGATCACGACCTTTTCCAGCTACCCAACCAATTCACATCTGCCAATTTCTTTTGAGTCTGTCTGCACAGTAAAAGGGGCAAAGGCTTTCTTTTTTTAAACTGATTTTCCTTCTGTCCACATATTATTACATGCTGCCTCCACTTCAGGTGGAATAAAACACAAATGAGCATGCCAAGCTGGCTGCAGCTGGCTTGCAGTTTCACTTGCTGCAAAGGCTGGACTTCCCTGCTGCTGTATTTTCAAAGCACTTTTGATGCAGGGATGGGGGAGGTGGGATGGCACAGGTTTTCAGGGCAAATTTTTCTGCAGACTTATAGAAAGTGCCTCATCCAGGGTAATTCTTGTGTCCCTCCTTCCCAGGACCTTACATGGCCTTTTCCATCTGAAACACACCAATGAGTTTAGCTGCCTCCTCTTCATCCTGGACATGGTATGGTGCTTGGAAGCCACTCTGGCGGGAGAAGAAGGCTGGGAACTCCCTTGATTCTCCAAAGGCAGCCACACACACACCCTGGGTCTCCTGCAGCAGTGGAGGTGAGACAAACAGGTGATCAGTGGAGGGAAACTAAAGATTGAGACTTTTTCCTTCTACCCAGAAAGAAACTGCCTTCCTTTGGCACAGGTCATGGTGATTTTTGTACACCCTATTCTATTCTATTCTATTCTATTCTATTCTATTCTATTCTATTCTATTCTATTCTATCCTCTCACCAAGAGCCAGACATGGTGAGTGGCTGGATCAGATCTGGCTCACTGAGGCAGAGGAGGCATGTGCATCCTTTGTGTGTGCTTGGAGCTGATCCAAAGCCATGCAGCTGTCATTGGCACCATCCTGAGCCCAAGACAGCGCCCTGGGACCTGAAGACACGTCGTGAACTGACAGGATATAAATGAGTTCTGCTTGCTATTGAGAAATATCAATGTTGGCTGTCATCTAAAGTGCTGGCCCTGGTGGTTTCCAACATGCCAAACCTTAAAAGGTGACTGCTGAAAATCATCTGATTCCCTTTTTAATTCTGAATTTAATTTAGTGTTTGATGGATCTAGCTTTGCTGATCCATCATTTTCTGGGAGCATCATCCCAGAAAAGCAAATCTAATGCCAAAGAAAAAGAACATGGATAGCACTACCTTTGACCTCAGCTGGAGCAGCTGCTGGAACAGCACCTTGGACATGGATGGATTTCTGTTAGGGAGCACCAAGTGCTTGTACAGCCCCAGGAGTACAGAACTATAAATATGGCTTCACATCCTCTCAGCAGCAATTTCTGAAAATCTTTGGCTTAGGACCCATCCCAATGCCACTGTGCACAAAGAACATTATCTGCTTTGACACCACAGCCCGTGCCACCTACCAGATATTCCAGTGTCCTGCCAATATCCAGGATAGACTTGGCTCCTGCAGATACAACAGCCACCGGTGTTCGTCCGAGCTCTGTCAAGTCAGCACTCACATCCAGAGCTGCCAAGGGACAAGCAGCACTGAGTTGGTGATTGTCTTGTACTCCAGGCTGGTGAGCTCTGACCTCCTGAAAAGCCACCTATGCCCAGCATGCCACTGCCTGATTTTAAAACTGCTTTGATCCACGAGCAAATATTAAAGGTTTAGCTCAGGACTTTAGGTGTTGAGATTGAAAGAGGTATTGACAAAAAGAAGGCACATGGCTAAGGGCAGAGGTGCAGCCTTGCACTCCATCTCTTGGCTCTTTGATCACATTGATAAAGAGCATGAAAAAATTTGGTAGAAAAGAAAGAAAAAGGTGTTGTAGGGCAAGGATGAGGTTCAAGGAGATGCAATATCATTGGAGTAGATTTTGAGTTTGGAACTGACAATGCTTGCAAAAAAAAAAGAAAGTACCACTGGAGAACATCAGGAAACTCCCTGGTCTGGAATTTATATCACATTTAAAGGGATTGCATACAACAAGGCACTGCACTTGGGCTGTGCTGGAAATAGATATGGCTGAGAAGAGAGAAAGCACCTAAAAGCCACAAACTGTACAGGCAGGACTGGGCCATCTTCCAGAGAGGAGAACACACCTCTAACACAGAGCACACTCTTTTGTGGCAAGGCTCTTCTCCTCAGCTGAGAGAGCTGATAACAACACTGTGCTTGGCAGCCAGTATCAGGTTATCCAGGCATTACAAAGAGGCAGAGGTGCAGTCAGCTCCTGTTGCACCAAACAATATCAATATAACCCCGTGTAAGCAAAGGATAAAGAGAAACCTCCACCCCCTTAACAACTGTGCAGGGCTCAAGAGGAATACTTGGGGACATCAGGGAGAAAGCAACCCTAGCTGGATCAAGAAGAATGTTAACTTTATTCTTCTGAACTGTTACTGTACGACAGGCTGGGAAAAAGGAAAAAGAGGGAATTGAATGGAACTGTAGCAACAGAGTGCAAAGTAGAATGCATTGATGTCCTTACTGTTCTCCCCATCCCGATGGACACCTCCAATGCCACCTGAGACAAACACAGGGATTCCTGCTTTGTGTGCCACGATCATTGTTCCAGACACAGTGGTGCCACCAGACAAGCCCTGTTGGGGAACAACCAGTCACAGTCAGCACCCAGGGTGATGTGGAGGAGCAGCCACAGCTGTGGGCTGTGAGCAGCCCAGCACTGAAATCCTAACACAAATACTCCTTTAGCCCAAAGGCAGAGGAATTCACTTAGGAGCTGGACTCTGTCATCCTTGTGGGTCCCTTCCAACTCAGAATATTCTGTGAATCATCTATTGTCCCTGCCATATAAGCTGTTCTTGCCCTGATGGCAGAGGCCTTTGCTGTCCAGTGTTCACAGGCAGCTAGTGGCACCTTTAGCTGCCACTTTAAGCCTGGGATGGCCCAAGTGTCACATAGCTGACATGCAATGAGAGAATGTCCTATCATGCCAATAAGAATATTCTTAGCCAAGTGCCCATGGCTTGCCAGCAGAACCAGAATGACTTTTCAGGAGCCCTATTTAATGTATGTCATTCCCTTACCCTGCTGGATTTTGAGTCCAGTTAGGGCCACTTTTGTGTCTACCATAGGATACCACCTTCCATGATATTTTTGAGAGGTTTAAAAACCACCTGGCATGAAGCTGGAGAGCACAATGCTGTTGCTAGAAAAGCAGCTATACTTTACTAGGAAAGACCACACCAGTAAGTTTGCACACCATACCTGGCTGAGGACGAAAGGAAAATCCCTGCGAGACACTTTAACTGCATTTTTACTGCTTGCCAGGAACTCCAGCTCCTCATCTGTGAGTCCCACATGGATCTGGCCCCTTAAAATACCTACAGTGGCTGGCACCGCTCCATTTGTTCTTACAATTTCTTCCACCTTTCTGGCCATGCTGAAATAAGACAAACAAGACAATAAACACAAAATTATGGATGGAAACAATCAGGCAAGAAAACTGTCATGTTTGATGGGCATCATTCACAGTTCTACAGTTCTTGTGGTTTCAGCTACATGCTGTTCTTCTTGTATCTGCCTCATGGCAGAAATCTTTGCCCTTGAACTTGCAAAGCAAAGAGCTCCCATTTTCAAGGATGGCAATGCCCAAGCTCTGTGCTTCATTTTTGAGAAAAATCATTTGGTTTACAAGCAAATCTGGTTGTACAAATACTACTGAAAATCCTGCTTGTCAAAATAGGAGTTTTCTTTATCTTTTACCTGTTATTTCTCTGACATAACAGACTTTCACAGAAACCCCAGCTAGTTCAAGTCCTGCTCAAATGACCAGGATATATTTTTCATAATACAGTCAGTGAGATACAGAGTAACAACAGTGCCAAAAATCTGCTGCCTTAGAGTACTCCAGGGCTGCAGGCTAAGCCTAAGTTTAGCAGATTTTGCACTTGATCATTCATACAGTATCTCTTTCAGGAGCAGCTTCTTCTCCCTTTCTGAGCTATCTGGACATATGCTTGGCAATCTTTACCTACTGAAACTACCTCTTCTCAAAAATCGAGATTTTAGAGCTTCATTTTAAGAGAGAATGTCAGCAGAATAACGACCAGGTAAAAAGCAAGATGGAAAATCAATACCAAAACCTTTCTGTGCTTTCTGGAAGCAAGGATGGAGGGGAGAGTGCAACGATTTCTGGCACTGTAACTCAATGAAACACAAGTCTACTGAAAATTGATAAATAAAGAGTAGAGGTGGGGGGTTCCATGCAGGGTACAGAAGACAGTGAGAAGGGACCAGGAGCTCTCACAGTAGCTGCTCTGAGTGGGCTAAGGAACAGATTTCATTATTGTGTTTCAATCCTTTTTGCATTACAAAAGATACAGGAAAAGAAACTGCAGAGTGTTTTCAATGTCTGTACAAACTGTGCAGCTGAAAAGCTGAGAGCTCTCTTTTAGATCAAGGGGTGACATTATCTGCTGCTCTATTTTAAAGGAAGCCAGAAATTTAAGGTTTTGGATAAGGAGAAAACTAAGCTCTCTTTATTTGTCCTTAAAAGTCCAAATACAATTGTTTTACACTTGAGCTCACAGCCTGCATGCCTAACAACCTGACATTTCCATTTGCTCTTGCATCTTGCAACAGCTTTGCCTTGACCAAGAGCACTGAGAGCAGTCCAGTAAGTTATGTGCTTCATTCTTACAACTTCACTGAATGAGGAACATCAACATCCATCACCTCAAATTCAGGGGATAGGCCATGCCATGTGTAATGATGGTGCTTTCCAAGGCTACCACGGGTCTGCTCTCCACCAGAGCCTCCTGCACAGAGGGATGGATCCTGACATAACCACCTGGGGATAAACACACAAGAGTGAGTTATTTGTGTGGGTATTTGCAGTAACTACTGAGCTGTTTTATAAAAAGCAAACTGTCGTCATCACAACAAATTTATCCCCCTCTTCAGCTGCTCTTTGGGGTGAATTTACAAATTACTTCAAGAAGGCTGGATCTGTGATTTACATAAGTGAAATGTGTGCAAAACATCTCAACTATTAACATGAATGATAATCCTCATCACCATCACTGAAGGATCCTCTGCTACCATTTTTGCAGTTCTATGGTTACTGTTATTCCACTTGAACATTATTGTGAACAAACTGAGCCCTGCAACCATGCCTAAAGATGGAAATATGTTTTAAAGAGTGGAAGCACCAAGGATGCCATAGGAACTCAGTGCACTACTCACCATGCAGAAGTCTTCTCACCTGGGTGGCCCCACGTGCCACGGAGGACACCTGTCTTCCCAGGCTGAGGGTTATCTTCCTAATCATCTTGTGCATATGGAATTTCCTGAGATAACAGAGGTCAGGTGAAAAGGAAAGATGTAATTTAGCAATGATGTGACCCTAAGAAGCTAAAAATCTCATTTCTTGCTTTGACTTTGGAAGGTAGACAGCCCTTTGCCTAAGAGATGGCCTGGAATCTCCTGGTGTTTCGAGCATGAGCCAGAGTGGCAAAACAAAATTTTAAGCTGCAGAAATGGATTTGGAAGGGGTCACCTGACCCATTAATGCTGGGCTGAAATAGTGGTGGAGCAGAGGAAAGGATGAGGAGTAACAAACCAGGGAGAATTCTGAAGCAGAAAACCTTTTACATTCCAAAGTGACCTGGTGATGATAGATGTCAGGCCCAGCCACTGCCACCTCCAACGTGAAGGGTCACAAGGAGGAATCTACAAGGCAGAATAGAGCTATAGGGATAGGAACCTGTTTTCTGCCAGTGTCTAGGAGAAAATAAGGAGCTCAAAAAGGAGCTGAGAACTGACAAACCAGACTGGAACTGCGAGGAGGAGAGAGCAGCTTTCCCTAGAGCTGGGAGTGCTTTATGCCGGCTCATGTTACATCATCCTTTTTAGCACAGTGCCTTGGAAGCAGAGTGGCAATTCAGCCCCAGCAACAAACTCCAGAACTCCTCTGGTCTCTTAGCAACTCCTTTTCACTCTAATTAAATTCATTCCCAAACAGAGAAAGAGGGGGAGAGAGCTGTAAATGTTAAGAGAGTGGTCTGGTCTGGGCCTCAAAGCAGTTTCACTCAATGCCTGGCTGCTTCACATACTTTTCCTGGGCTTTTGGCCATATCCCTCCAGTCTCCCTGTTTTCCTCACCCCTTCACTAGGAGGAAAGGATTCCCTTCTTCAGTCCTTTGTGCCTATTGTTAATTCAGATGGCAAATTAATTTAAAAAACCAGTACTGTGTTCATGTTACAGTTAGCAGAACATGGCTCTGCTCTCAGTACAGTGTGTGGCACTTCAGCTATATAGAAAATTCTTATAGCCAGGGAGATCAACTAGACACAATACACACCTGACTGAAACACTAAAATTTTCCACTTTCCAAATCTTTTTCGTGCTAAGCTCAGCAGCTTGAGCAGTTCATGGGTTCACACAAATGTTCTGGTATGGCTGTGTGTGTGTGCCTACACCCCCCTCACTCTCTGGGGCAAAGTCTGCTTCAGAATAAATTCATCAAGCCAACAGCGTTACGCCAGGGATCGGCTGAGCTGCTCGAGTTGTGCTCTGAATTTTAACAACTCCCCAAACTCAGAAGCACAACAGCAAGGAGTGCCCAAGCTGTACTGGCCAGTGGATAAAAACCAGCTGGTCACCACCTGAAACCCAACAGGGCTGAGCTGATATTCACGGGAAGCTCAGCCAACATCCAGCCTGAGCCGCCTCAAGGATTATTGTAGCTTGGCAAGTTTTGCTGCAAGCCCCATACAACCTTTAGCCTCGTAACCAAACTTTGCACATTCCCAGTGCACGTTTCAGGCAGCTGGAGCAGGGACCTGCTCTCCTCCCGCCTCCCCTGTGCCCCACGCTGTATCTGAGCTCATGGAGCAATGCCTGGTGTCTCTTACCTCTGCTGTCCGTCTGCCTCATGCAGGGAGGCTGGGTGGGCACTGGAGCAGTGCCTGGGCAGCCCTGGGAGGAGGAGGAGGAGGGGGTGTGCTGGCCAGAACTCCTGGCCAAGGGAATCTATTTATGATTAACCACAGGCACAGCTGAGCTCCACAACTGCTCCCTGCCCAGGGTGCAGGGGGCCGCTTCACGGCAGGGCCAGGAAAGCTTCTGTGATTATTTTTGTTCATGCAGAGCCAGATTTTCCCCTTGCTCTTTAAAAGACTTTTCTCATTTTTCAGATTCCTTTCCTGTTAGATTTTTTTTTTTAATCAGTGAATTCTTTGCTCGCTAAAACAGTCCCTTTGCAGACTGAGCCCCTTTGTGCTTATTCCTAAAAAGCAGAGGAATCACATTCATGCCTCCCCCACAGCTTTGCCAAATGCAGCTGTTAAAGCTCCTTCTTCCCAGGGTGAGAGCTCTACCCAGCTCTTGGCCTCTCCAGCAAGGAAAGCAGTAGGTCTAAAGACAGCTGTGGCCACATTTTTTATGATGCAGATACCTGGCTACACCCAGAACATGAGTTGAGTTCACAGCAAAAACTATCACAGTCTCCTCTTGTAATGACAATCCATTCTAGCAGGTCAAGGGCAGCTTTGAACAAGGACTGTGAAATTAATGTTTGTCCCCTCCTAAAAAAAAAATATGATACTTTGATATCGATGCACTGGTATTGTACATGTTTCTGTTTTATATTCTGCAGAAAATATCAGAGCTGAGATTTAGACAGCCATGAAGGAACTGATTTACAGGTTAAAAGACAGACATGATTCTGTGCAGCTTCCATGCAGAACATAAAACTAGCTGAAGTAAATACTAACATATTGCTGAAGTAATCAGGGTCAGAGAACTGATTTTACTGCAATCCATTAATCAGGAAATTGTAAAACATAGGTTGTTAAAGCAGTATTTGCACTTTACACTCGTCCCTTTCAAAAGAAATTTCTCGCAAATTCTGTTTAACCCAGCAGTAAAAAATTGTGTCTTATTTTCTACATCCTTCCAGTCTCTTCAACTAAACACATCCAAGGAAACTTCAAACAAAGCTTGCTGAGTTACAAAGACAATCTGCCTCTGACTTCTGCTACCCAGTCTGGAGGGAATTTAATTGCAGGAATGATAGATTGCATCCTCAGATACCATAAATGGATGTCGAAGATTTTGTGAACATTATGTTCTTCCTGGGAGGATGGGTAGCCAGATGTACTGGAAAGAAAATGTGTAGGTAAAATAACATTTTTTTTAAAAAAATACACACAAATTATAATGACACAGTTTTATTTTCCATTAAATCTATTTGGAAAGACTGCAGGTCTTCCAGCTTTGGAATATGCACCCCATCAGTTCAATATTTTTGAGGAATCTATCTGGACCATCACGCTTTTGACATACTCTCAGGGAAGATGCCTTAGTAACCAAGCTGGCCACTCAGTTTCCAATTCTCAACATCATCTCAAGGTGATCTTGAGCAGTGGTCACCCAAATCCAGCCAGTCACATTAGGTAAGTCAGGGATACGGGTGTTTTTCTTGATTTGTCATTTTTGCCCTTAAATCCAGTAGAAAATCAGCCTGTTGGATTTTTAGCTCAGCTTTCCAACATGAACCTGTGAGTCTCTGAGACAAAGTGGGGCAGGTCAGATGGGTCTCTGAGGGCACCACTGCAGCCTTGTGCTTATCCCAGCTCTGGAACTGCTCCCAGCAGGCTTCTGCAGGGTGAGATACGGCTGACAACTGCGAGAATGGGGTTTGGAAGCAGCCAGCAGGGGACTGGCAGCAGAGAAAGCCCTGGGGAGGAGCTGGAGACAGGTTTGTGTGAGTGTGGGGCAGTGTTTCACTCACTCCCTGCCTGCTGCAGTGTTAGCTGCCTTTGCAGTCCTGTCTGCCTGCCCCTGACCTGGAGCTTGCTGCTGCTGCTTCCCCCTCTGGGCCTCAGAAGTAGAAGTTAATATTAAACAGGTTCCTGAGTAAAATGGGAGTGGCTGGGAACAAAGAAATCGCCATGGCAAATTCCTACTGCTCACTGGGAGCTGGGCCCTACGGCCACCCTGGCATTTTTCTTTCTGAGTGATTCCTAGAGTTTCCATCTCCCCTGGAACCTTTCCTCTCCCAGGGGTGTCACTGCTGGAGGCATTCAGGAAATGGGAAACTCCACATCACTTTTGCAACTCTGTCATGTCCACCATGGGACAGTATTTTCCTTTCCTTGTGTACCTGATTTCCGAGAGTCTATTTACAGTTGTTAGGCTGGGATTCGCTCATTGGTGTTTCTCTGTTTTTGAAGCTTGTTTCTAGGCTGCCAATCTCCACAAGACCTCCTAGGGATATGCAGAATCATCCAGAACACATTTAACCATTCATGTATTTTACCTTAGTGAGAACTGTGGTGCCTGGAACAGTCTGTCTTGTCAGGGCAACAATCTAACCAATATGAAAGTCTGACAAAGTCACTCTTTAGTGACTTAACCTCTTTAACTGTCCTGACATCCTTCTGCTTTCATCAGCAAATTTTCATGATCACTCTAATGGATCCAAAATAACTTCCCAGATTATCTTAATGGCTTGAAAGTATTTGAATTTTTTTTTCTAATATGAAGTATTTTTTTCCTCCAGCTGTTTTTAACAGAATGCAAGACTGAACATACACACCTGGTGCAGTTTTTGAACTTTTATTTCATTGCTGAATATTGCATGAGAAATGCTCTGTGATGGAATCAGGTGCAGTAAATAAGTTTCTTCTTTTAGATACTAAAAGGTATTCCCAGTTCTCCATGGGACAGTTTTCCATTGAACATCCAAGCTTTCTTGTGGCAGGGATTTGTTGAACTGAATTTATGAGCTATTTGACATTGATCACTGTGCTGATAATATCAGGAGGGAGTCTGCTGCATAGAGAGCCTGGATCAAGGTCTTTATTTGGGTGCTCCTTGTCCTGGATGCAGGTTGGTCTTATACAATCATTCAAAGAAGTTATTCATTCCAAGACTGTTGGAGTTCATAGTTCATTCCAAGAACTAGCCTTTTTTTGTGTTTTATGCATACCTGTACCTTGTTTTGAAGCTTGTTAAAATTGATATGCATATTTCACCTCCTTTTAATTCAAGCTTTTAATTCAAGCTCATTTTAATTCAGAGCTCTGTTTGCTCAGGTCTGGATTCTGCATATTCCAGAAAATGCCAGCAAGCATTCCCATTGCCCCATTCCTTAGGTAGTTCAAGGGCACTGAAGTCGTTGTTCCAAGGAAACCTGAGTACAGATGTTCCTCTTCTCTCCTGTGCCCTTCCTAAAGTCCAGCATCTGAGGGGACTGTCCTAGTGCCTATGTTTAGAGCACAGGCTTCATTTCAGTATTTTCTGGAGTGACTGATGGCCTGGATACATTTGATTTATTAATACATTTTCAAGGAGTGAGGCAAAATATCAAGAACACTGCAGTGACAGGGTTCTCCTGTCATTTTGCCCCTGCACCCCAGCTTGTCACAATCTTTTGGGAATGTGTTTAGTACTTTGCTTACGGTTCTTGGCAGCAGGAAGCCAAGGGCACCATGTGGCTCAGGCAAACAGCAGTTTCACAACCGGGATTTATTACGGAACCACAGAACAGCTCGGGTTGGTGGGACCATCCTCCGGCCCAAGCTCCCTGCTCAGGCAGGGCCGTCCTAGGGCACACAGCATTGCGTCCAGAGGGTTCTGGAACATCCGCACTGAGGGACACGCTACAGCGCAAGGACGCGGTGCTTCTTACCCCGTTAGCGCAGCACCGGCTGGCTCAGGGCCAACTTTTGGGCTGGG